GCTTGTCCCGGTATTGATGTCCAGTCTTGAACTTCGGCTTGAACTGTTTCCGAACCAAGCTTCCCATGTCGAAACTCTTGATAGTAGGAGAATTGCTCCAAAGAATACTTCTTTTAGGAGTAGCATGTCCATGGTGGGCCATCCAGAAGCGCTGCACATACACCTCAATTAAGCGAACATATGAGCTCACTAAGGCATGCATGCATGTTTATATGCATCAATTGAAAACATAATTCTCAGAACCGGCTGGTGGCGGGAACTTTGGCAGAAGCCAGAGATCGAAACAACCACTGCATGCGGGGGTAGTAGTGGAGTAGCGTCGACCCTGGGTTTTCCACATACCACGTATGCCCAAGGCACGTCAGAAGTGCCAGCAGCAAAGTGGACCTCCAAGGATTTTGTTAGGGCTGCGACAGTTTAGGGGCTCGGGGTTTAGAGTATAATAGGGCTGTGCTAGTGTATTCCCCAAATGGGACTAACCTGCAACTGAAAACTGCCTGGAAGTCCCTGTGTTTGCAAACTCAACCGATGGTTGAGATATATCTCCCCAGCCGTTGAAGGGACACCTTTTTGAGGTACCGGAATTCATCAGAACGAAGGATGAACACTCGATTCCGATAGCTGCAAGCGCCCCTTCTGGGCTGCCACAGAGTATCATGAGCACCGCGAGCCTAGGATTGGCAAGAATTTATAAGAGCCTGTATAGGTTAATTTGTACAATATATGTTAGTTTAAAGCATAAAGCACAATATACGTATACAGGATATATGCTGTAAATTTTACAATATATATTGTTTAAGATTTTTAAAACAAATATTGTACAATAGTATATATATATATAGCTAGTGTACATATAATAAACTTTATGTTCAACACTATATAGGCGTTAAACATCTATTTCGATATAGGTTTTAAGGTTTTTTATGGGCTTGAGGGTTCTTTAATTAGTCTATTGCCATACGACTCCATGAAGCCCGAAGAACGCCCTAAACTTTGCACTGGTAAATCCTTGTCTATTCCGGCCAAGTGGCGCAAAACCGGCTGAACCATTAAGGTTTAGAGATGATTTATGGACACTCCAAAGAGAATCATAGATCATGTCGGCTGTAATGCACCGAAGCCCCGCCGCCCGACCCATGCGGGAAATTCGAGCTCGTCCTGCATAAAGTTCAATGATGTCGAAGCCACGAGAATCTCCAAGGTTTTCAGGTAAGGGGTCGGCACAAGCCATCATCAGCACCACTGCAAGGAATGCCTCGGATGGACTTATCCTGTTTGTTCGAAATTTGAAAGACCAAAATGCCGGGATACCTTAGGCACCTTCAGGCTCATCAGGCGCCGAACACATGATGCTAGTGCATGAGAAGAAATCATGACAATCTACAAATCGATCCCTAAACAAAAGCCGATATCTGGCAGGATCATGGACGTGCATGAGTGCACACAACATGCCACAGATCGAAATCCAGCTTGATAGCTTCATCAAGAATACATGCCTCAAACAAGCTGGCCAGGCTGATCTCCAGTTGGCCGCATTTGGCCAAGAAGCCTTGCCCACGCCTCATGCCTGGGCGTCGGTTTAAAAAAGTATGATATGGGTCTTTAGGCTTGGATTTGCTGCATGCGTGGGCACACGAGGAGACACTGGTACACACACGTTGTTTTCTACTCGGCAATGCAGCAGTTAACCCACATTCCCAGTGAATTTGAAAATGCTTTCAGCAAGTTCTCAAACGTGCAGCCCGCACTCGAAGAATACAGGTTCTATGCACGTAAGTACGACATGCCGGGGCAAGCCTAAGGGTCTGCATGTGCTTATGCAGGCATGCAGGCACACAAAACTCGTATATGAGCATCTTTACTGCTCATCCTGCGGAACTGTCAACAGATACTCGGCAGCGGCTTTGCGGGCAACCTTCTTGTAGTCTTCAGGCTTCACGTCGCGGCCCAGTCTGGGCTTTACTAGCAGCCAGAAAGGGTCCTGCAAAATGGATTGGATTTACCTAGAAACTCCTGATCTTTAGAGCCCCCTGCAAATCCTAAAGTAATCTGCCCCATGACACTATGCCGACTATCTTAAAATAAACCCTAAACCCTAACCCTAAACCCCAAACCCTATACAATATAGGATGTTGTAACAACAGGCAAGAGCATCACTGAGTATAACTGTCTGGACACCCGGGGTCATGTGAACGGAATCGAGATCAATAGCTAGGCTCATTAGAGGTATAATATACTCACAAAGAGTATGCGTTTAGGGTTTGGGAAGTTAGGTGATCAGAATAGCATCGAAGCCTCAACCATGGTCCTGGTGAGAGGAAGGGATCGGAACATTCGTGTGAATCTTCTCGTAGAAAACATCTCGGATTACCTGCCACCTCAAGCTCGTAAGCTCGCCACTCGGACGAACCCGGCGGGCAAAGCTCTTGTCCTCAAAGTTCTCATGTCGAGCGCGCTTTTTCTTGCCCTCGATCGCCTCAGGCTTTTCAGCCTCACCTGATGCTTTGGATGCCTTGGGCGACTTCTTGCTCTCCTTCTTTGGAGTGGGATTCTTGGCTGCAGCCTTTGGCTTCTTGGTCTTGGGCGGGCTCTCGGGAGTTGTATCCGCTGGCTTTTGTGCCTTTGTTTTGTTTGCTGCTTTTGCTGGCTTTGGGCTAGGTGTTTCAGGAGGATCTTCGACCGCTTTGGTTCCACGCCCCCCTTTACCTGCACCTCGCCCTCGGCCACGGCCACCTCTGCCCCTACCTCTACCAGTGGTAGCCTCCACGGCCCCGGCTTGCAGAATACGTGAGGGAACTTCCTGCAGGGACACTATCTATCTCACCATCTTCAATTCGATCTACACAGAAAAAAATGAACTAGAATCTCTATACCGAACCAACCTGTAAATATTATCCCAAAATAAAGCCACTACCCTCGAACCTGAAGATAACACTGAATACCCCAATCGGCCTTGAAGTTGTGAACATCCAAACCCTCTGTGCATGCGAGGATGGGCTCGGCAAGAGCTGGAGCATGTGCAGGCTCAGCCTCTTCAGCACTTGCATCCCTGGTCGTGCAAGCCTGTTCAGGTTCCATCTGCGCAGGGGGTGGGGTCACGGGATCAGGTTCATCAGCCATCACCTTGGTCTTGCAAGCCTGTGGGGGCTCCATCTGTGCAGGGGTCGTGGTCATGGGAGCAGCTTCCTCAGCCATCATCTGGGACTCTAGCTCTTGCTCCACCTCCTCAACAAAAGAAGCGAATAAAGCATCTTTATTATTGTCATACCCATCCTCAACACAAACCTTGGGGGAGGCTGGCTCCGGCTTGCCGCGGCATTCGGAGGCCGGGCCCAGATCTGCTTCTTCATCACTGCTGATGCTGATGGTCCCATTATCATTCAGGAAGAAGTTTTCTCCCATGATGTCACAAGGGCACGTGTCCATCAGCGATGGGTCATGACCTCGACTGTGCCCCATATGTGACTGTACAGACTCAACCCGACAAGCAAATCGATCGAAACCCAGTTGCGGTCAGGTGGCTACGTGCTACTGCATCAGCATCTCGTCGCAGAGCGGCCGCTGCGGCTGCTTCTCGAAGAGCTCGACGAGTCTCTAGGACATTCCTTGGACCGGGTAAGTGTTCGATCTGTATATTATATATATAGTGTATATTTTTTAGGGTTTAGGGTTTAATTAGGGTTTAGAGTATATACATAAATATAAATATTAATATATATAAATATAAATATATAAATATAAATATATAAATATATATAAATATATATATATATATATATATATTTGGGGCTTAACCGCACTTATGACTTGAGCTGGGGTTCTGCAGATCCTGAAGCTCTCGCTCCCACCGTTGGATTGTGTCATCATCCGTGGTGGGGTTGTTGCCTGGGGAAGCATGGATGCTATATGATGACATTTATTTAAAAATTGCGTACATTATAAATTAAAAAAAACATTCGTGGCCAAGCTACTGGGTTCGGAAGGTCTCTGGGGGCTTCGGCTGGAGGCAGGATTTCGGGGGCTGCGGGAGCAGGATGATCAGGTTCGGGGTCAGCCTCTGCATCCGGGTCCTGACCCCAGTGCTCGGTCATGATGTCGAAGAGAACCATGAGGGTTCGGTCCTCATATCATTAGGCTTGATTAATTGGTGGTTTGAGCTTCGAAACTAGCATTAAATGGTCAATCCAGGTCGATGCTCTGCAGAGATCACATTGCTACATATTATATGTCGGATATACTTGTATAATTTATAAATGCATATATAGGGTTAAGGGTTTAGGGTTTCAGGAACCTAGGTTCTTAACTTCGCTTGGGCACGGGTGCCAACCTAGATAGGTCTTATAACCATGAACCTGTATTTTCCCAAAACCAAACCTGGAGCCATCAGCTCAAGGGAACCGTATACCTATATACATGCGTGTACATATGTGTGTATAGAGATTATTTTTTCGACAGCATACCTATATAGCCTGCATATATATATATATCTATCTTATAATTATAAAGGTATATATATATATATCTAATATATATATATATATATTATTT